AGTAGCAGCCCCACATGCAGGGGAATTCTTGTTAGCAACCCCAATGTCGGCAACTGGCACACGTCTCACACCACACACCCTCCGAATTGCTGTGGCCCTCCGCCTTGCTGCCCCAATCCACACCAGATATAGGTGTATTTGCGGCGAGGTGGTGGCTGACAGGTACAGCCACCATGTCCTACTCTGCCAAAGCACAGGGGGATGGCACTCGAGGCACAGTGAAGTTAACGACATCATCAAGAGGAGCCTCACCACAGCTGGATGCCCAGCTGAAAGAGAGCCCCGTTATCTAATGCCCCGTAACTCTGATCCTCTTATTGGTCACCCGGCTGGTATCACAGTGAACTCTTGGAAGAATGGCAAGCAGTTGGTATGGGACTACACGTGTGTATCAACCCTGGCTAACACCTACATTGATCTCAGTGTTGCACAACCAGGTGGCGCTGCCACCCACAGGGAAGCAGCCAAATCCCGTAAGTATAGAGAACTGGATCACCACTACAATTTTGTCCTCATTGCTTCTGAGACACTCGGCGCCTGGGGTAAAAGTGCTACCAGTTTTTTTAAGGAACTGGGTTCTAGGCTCATTGAAACAACAAGGGACCCTAGAGCTGCCAGCTTCCTTTTCCAGCGCCTCAGCGTGGCGATACAGAGGGGAAATGCGCACTGCATCCAGGGTTCCTGCCCGCCATCTGAGGAGCTGGAAGAACTCGGCAACCTATGATAACCATCTTTGTAACCTATATGTAACTCCTTTATTGTAACAAAGTTCAAATAAAGCAAATACATATATGTGTATATATATATATATATATATCATATATATATATATATATATTATATATATATATATATATATATATATATATATATACATACACACATATATATTTGCATAAGCAACAGGGCTCCATTAAGGAACATATAATCTCTTCCCATAACCAGACCATCACCAGAGAAGTCTTAACAAAAAACACGGAAATCATCGATAGATACAGCGATAGCAGGCGGCTAGATATCTGCGAGGCACTACACATAAAGAAGTCGACACCAGTAATCAACAGCCAATTAATGCACAACTATATTCTACCCACTTCAAGACTCCACACCAATATAGAAGCATCAAGAAATATGAGCCAATAGGCCCTTTGCAGTTACTTCCATTCTTCCCTTTAACTTACAAAATATTATACCCATTGTTTCGTGTTCTGTCTTGTGTTGAAAATTTGTTTTCACCTCATCCAAAACTGTTGTAACATATCACCTCACCCAAATGCAGGTATATATATATATATACTAGGTACGACATATATATATATATATATATATATATATATATATATATATATATATATATATATATATATATATATATATATATATATATAACTGAAAACTCACACCCCAGAAGTGACTCGAACCCATACTCCCAGAAGCAACGCAACTGGTATGTACAAGACGCCTTAATCCACTTGACCATCACGACCGGACATAATGAGGTGATAGCCGAGGCTATTTGAACCACCCCCACCGCCGGCACTCGGATAGTAATCTATCATTTAGATTACTATCATAGCATTTTACCAAATCACCTCATTCTTTGGGGCACACGTGAGAATGAGGTGATTTGGTAAAATGCTATGCCCAAGATTACTATCCGAGTGCCGGCGGTGGGGTGGTTCAAATAGCCTCGGCTATCACCTCATTATGTCCGGTCGTGATGGTCAAGTGGATTAAGGCGTCTTGTACATACCAGTTGCGTTGCTTCTGGGAGTATGGTTCGAGTCACTTCTGGGGTGTGAGTTTTCAGTTGCATATTGTCCTGGGGACCATTGAGGCTTGTTCGCATATATATATATATATATATATATATAATATATATATATATATATATATATATATATATATATATATATATATATATATATATATATATATGTCGTACCTAGTAGCCAGAACGCACTTTTTGGCCAACTATGCAAGGCCCGATTTGCCTAATAAGCCAAGTTTTTCTGAATTAATATATTTTCTCTAATTTTTTTCTCATGAAATGATAAAGCTACCCATTTCGTTATGTATGAGGTCAATTTTTTTTATTGGAGTTAAATTAATGTAGATATATGACCGAACCTAACCAACCCTACCTAACCTAACCTAACCAATCTTCATAGGTTAGGTTAGGTTAGGTAGCCGTTAAAAGTTAGGTTGGTTAGGTTAGGTAGGTTAGGTAGTCGAAAAAACATTAATTCACGAAAACTTGGCTTATTAGGCAAATCGAGCCTTGCATAGTAGGCTGAGAAGTGCGTTCTGGCTACTAGGTACGACATATATATATATATATATATATATATAAATATTTATATAACCGCTCAACCAACACGACCGGACAAAAGAAATAGAATGGGGGATGGAAATAGCCTCGGGTACCATCCTCTTTTGTCCGGTCGTGTTGGTCGAGCAGTTAAGGGATCCTGTACGCCAGCAGAGTGCTCCTGGCAGTATGGGTTCGAGTCACTTCTGGGGTGTGAGTTTTCAGTTGCATATAGTCCTTGGGACCATTCAGATTTGTTCGCATTTCTGTTCCTCACTTGTGCCCCAAAGAATGAGGTGATTTGATAAAATACCATGCCCAAGATTACCAACCGAGTGTCAGTGGGAGGGGGAGGGGGGGGGGGGTTGGAAATAGCCTCAGCTACCATCCTCCCTTGTCCGGTCGTGTTGGTCGAGCAGTTAAGGGATCCTGTACGCCAGCAGAGTGCTCCTGGCAGTATGGGCTCGAGTCACTTCTGGGGTGTGAGTTTTCAGTTGCATTCAGGCTTGTTCGTATGTATATATATATATATATATATATATATATATATATATATATATATATATATATATATATATATATATATATATATATATTTATATATATATATATATATGTATATATATATGTATATATATATTGTATATATATATATATATATATATACATATATATATATATATATATATATATATATATATATATACATATATATATATATATATATATATATATATATATATATATATATAATACATATATATATATATATATATATATATATATATATATATATATATATAAATAGGTTGAACCTATTTAACAAGTTGTCATTTGCACAACCCTCTGGATACATGTGTGAAATATGCAACAACATTTTGTGTTTGTTGGGAAGGGACGAGGGGGCCATGGAGGAGATTAGGACCAGGGGGCCAAGAAGGAGATTGGCACGAGAGGTTCAGAAGGGAGATGGAATGAGGAGGGGAAATGGTGCCCCCACCCCTCCTTTAGAACACTAAGAACACTGGCATGGTATATTAATGAGAAAATCCTTTGGGAACACCATTACCCTGCAGGCCAGAGTGTAGGCGTGCTATTCGCAAAATCCTATTTATGGCAACTGTTGGGGCCTCCAGAACCTTGTAGTGAATTCAGTAGAGTTCTGGGTTGAATGTCTTTTGTCCTATTGTGGTCGAGTGGGAAACGGCAGGCGAGTGGGAATCACTAGAACATTGGTTGCAGCCACCTCATTACCCAAAAATGATTTTCTCATTGATATATCATGCCATTGTCATTTCTTTGATATTTAAATATTTTATCTGTCAAAGGAATTTTACGAAGTTTAATATATAACGTATTATCCTCACAGACAGTGGGAAGCGAAATAGAAAATAAGAAAACAAAAATATATTGTCCCATGAACGTGTGCTGAGAGGGTGAGTGGTTTCCCTACCTACAGGATATATTTTTCTGGTCAACTATTCCCGTTAGTCGACCGGGGTGATGTGTCGGGCTTAAACTGTCAGTTGCTGCTTTGTAGTGCTGACAGAAGGAGGAACTTAGATGTGAGACGGCTCATGAGACTTGAGAAAGTGTTTGATGTGAAGTATGTTTGGAGTGTCCAATCTCTTATTATCATTATGTTTGTTGATTATTTCGGTAAGCATTAATGTGGAATTAGAGCTTAAAATAAGATGCGCTCTGGAAGGTTAGGTATTATAGCTACATCGACATTATACAAAACATAGAATTTGTTGTACTGGGAGAACCTCAATATTATTACATCAAGTCCAGCCAAACTTCATCTGATCTATGGAATAATGTACAACTTAAGCTACAATACTTTACACTTTTAATGTGCTCTGGGCGTCAAAAAATATTATCATCATATTATATTATACCCAAATTAACACAAAGTACCAGAAACATGCACCAAACTTAGATTTAGAAGCTATTCGTATCTTAAAATATACATATTTTAAGATATGAATGCAGCTGTGACTGTAGAGAAGAGGGGTACAACTATTAAAACCTGCCGTATTGCTAACACCTCTAAGACTCTTTTTTTTTGTATATTACATATTTTTGCATTAAATTGTATTTTAAATAATGCTATATTCTAAAGTTTAGTTGCACCACTGCAAAACAAAGAGTACATGAAAAGGATTTCATATTAAACAGTAAAATCCAAGCAATGAGCACATATCCTGTGATTTTTGTTTGTAGTAATCTAGAAATTTTCAGGAATATTAAAAATTGGAACTAGGGTAAATTAATTAGAAGTTTAAGCATTTTAAATAACTATTTTTCTCAGTTCAGTATACACAAGTTAATTTATATATATTTCATACTATCTAGATTTTGTATTATTATTATTAGATGAACAGAAATGAAAACTTTATATAAATTATGGTAAATCAATACCTGTAATACCTATGATGGTGTCAATACCTGTAAATTTCCTTGTTATTGTCATCGACTTCCTGTATCATCACGATGACATGTGACCGGAAGTTTTGTTAACTTGGATATTCTTCGTTGGTAACATTTTATGGGAATGTGGTTAATATTAAATAAAAATAATATGTTGTTTTTAAATATGCGAAAATGGTGGTCAAACGGTGAAACAAACCATCCACAATACTCTTGCAACATTGCATAGAAGAAGAAACTTTCAAGACTTGCTTACCTTTTCACTTTCCAGCCGGTTTAGTTGGTCTTCTAGTCTGGAAAAGTCGGGATTTTTCTTCTTCATACTCTCCCCTTGCCTGACCTGCGTGAACACACTTGTTTGAATCCTTCAACATACGCCGTGTTTATATGCAATGTGTCATCCTAACTTATAGTACTTGGCTTCGATGGGTAGAACGTACATAATTACACTTTTGCACCTAAAATTAAGCCACGTTTTCAGAATTAATTTTGTATCCGGTACGAGAAAGAAATCAACATGCCAAGGAAAGCTGAACCTTCCTCGGCATAGTATAGACCACATAAGCACTACATTAGGCCTGAAATGGCATATATTAGGCCAACGATTACAAAGGCCTATGGGAGGTTTGCTTAGGTTGCATAGTTAATATTCAATCTTTTCGTATGCCCATTGTGGTATTCCAATAGTACAACTCATCCTCCTGTTTTGATAGTACTTTTTGTAACTTTGTGGACCATCGTACATATATATTGACGTAATGGCCAATTAGTATAACTTGATACTATTCACTTTTTAGAGTCTGGGAAAAATGATGCTAAAAACTTAACTTAAACATTCCCCAGGGCCTATTACAGCGCATAAATATAGTTTATTAGGCCTCAGATAACGTGATTAAGGACCTTGGATGGCTAGGATAGGTTTTATTCGCAACATTAGTAAAATAACTTCTCCGGTTTGTCCGAGTTAAATATTACCTAATTACACTTTCTAATTGTCTATTTCGTCAATATATGTCCGATGGTCCACATCATTACCATATGTACTATCTAAACAGGAATATGGGCTGAATAGCATGAAACTCGAAATGTTAATGGGTACGACACTCCATATTTGAACTTTCCACCAATAGTTGCAATATGCACCATCATATTCAGAGGACGGATTACAATATAAAATACCAGACTTAGGCTCTGGATCATTTCTCTCCTCATAAATGAAGTTAAGATTTGTACTTCATACATAACACTCTGAAGTCTGTAGACCATGTTTACATTGGTTCAACACTCTTAAATAAATATTTTTTTGCCATGGTAAGATCTGTATTAAATTAGTTCCTTAGTTTATCATCGATTAGCCAAGAAACCAAGTTTATTGAAGAACCACAGATAAAATTGTGTTTAAACTGTAATAGTCCATGGACACAAAAATCACATATCATGTCCAGTACAGTTTGTAACAAAAAAAGGCACTCAAATGCACAATAGACACAATATATGTCTGATGTTTCCAAGCTTTGTGTATGGCTGAGTGTATGTATCATTACAACTATTTATCTGGTGCGTGCGTGGCTAAATGGTTCAATAAAATTGTGCCCTTTTTTAAAACTGCGCCATCTGTTGAACGTAAAAAAAAAAGCTTGTCTATACTTAGACCAGAAACTCCACTTCAGCACCCACATACAACACATAACTAAGAAAGTCTCTAAAACAGTTGGTATACTCTCTAAAATATTATGTACCTAACTCTGCTCTCCTCTCACTATACTACGCACTAATCTATCCATATCTTACTTATGGTATCTGTGCATGGAGTTCAACCATTGCAAACTACCTCAAGTCAATCATCACCCAGCAAAAATCTGCTATCAGAACAGTAACAAACTCTGCTGTCAGACAACACTCAGTCCCCCCCCCCCCCCTCCTGTTTAAATCCCTAAACATTCTAAACATAAACTCACCCCACACATTCTCTTGTGCCATCTACATTTACAAAACCATGTTCTTAAATGCGAACCTTGCTCTGAAACTTATTTTTCTGAAACTTATTTTTCTGAAACTTATTTTTCAGAAACATATTTTTTGCGAGTAGACAGATGTAATAAAACCCATAATCATCGAACCGAAATAAATATCTCTTTGATATCCCCAGAGTCAAACTTAATCTGTGCAAACACTTTATGCAAATAAAGGGACCTAGTCTATGGAACTCACTCCCTAACGAATTGAAAAGCTGTCTAACTTTTGTCCTATTCAAAAACCAAACCATAAGGTGCCTAATCTCATTTTCGTAATTTCCTACCTAGTGCTTTCAACTCGCACTGTATCTAGTGCTACTCAATCCCCCAATAAGCCATATAACTCTACCATTGTAATAATTGATATTATCTGATACTATGGTTGTTATATTGAGTGCATATTCTACTACATTATTCCTTGAAATTATCCTCAAATTGTGCTACAATAAACCAATTGATAACCCTCAAATTTTACCAGCGTACCTAGTAGTCTTTGCCATTACAGTATAGTGTCATTATTGTGTATTAATCTAATCTTTGTTTATTGTGTCAAAATTTCTTACAATGTACCTGTTAACATTATTTGTCAATTTTGCTGGAAATTATCTACTTAAATTATATGTTAGGTTAAAGACTTGCCCGAAACGCTATGAGTGCTATGGTTTTACAAGAATGTAAAAATTATCATTGCTATGTACTCTCCTAACCCCCCAATGTACCTTTTTGTATATAAATAAATAAATAAAGAAAAGCAACACATGCTGTGTGTTTTTCATATGAGGGGAAATTTTCATATTTTCATATCTTCACCAATTGCTTTGAAATTTTGACATAACGTTGCTTCCTAATAGGCAAGTGCTTTTATATATCTACTATATAGATGTCACACCTCGGACAGGTAAAAACATGTTTTTTTTAACTGTTTTTCATGTGAGGGAGGATGAGGGGACGGGGGGGGGGGGGTATGGTGGAGGACAATGGGACGGAGAAGTGTGGAATGGTGGGGTGGACGAGGGGGACGGGGAGTGGGGTGATAATGAGGAAGAAAGGGGATGGGGGAGTTGTGGGGGAGGATGAGGGGATGGGGCAGTAGGGAATGGTGGGGAGGGCAAGAGGACAGGGGAGAGGGGAATGGTAGGGAGCACAAGGAGCAGAGGAGTGGGGGAGGACGAGGGGACAGGGGAGGGGGAATGATAGGGATGTCAAGGGGGACAGGGGAGGGGGAAATGTGTGGAGGACGAAAGGGACGGGGAAGGAGGGGAGAATGATGGAGGGATTGAGGGATGGGGAGAGGGAAATGGTACGGAGGACGAGGGGACAGGTGGGGATATTAGTGGGGAATAGTTAAGAAGAGGAGGGAATGGTGGGGAAGACGGGAAGCAGGGAATGGGGGAAATGGTGGGGAGGACGAGGGGACAGGGAAGTGGGGAATGGTGGGGAGGACGAGGGGACAGGGAAGTGGGGAATGGTTGAGAGGACGAGGGGACAGAGGAGGGCGAAATAGTGGGAAGGACAGGAAGCCGGGGGAGGGTCGGGGGTTCTAGAGTCGGCAAACTAGACAATCTCTATATCTCAGCAGACAATGGAACAACAAAAAATATTGTATACCCACAAGCATTGTGATATTAAACATAATAGAAACGTGCGCTTTCTCTTTTCTTTCTTTTCCACTTAAACCAGACTAAGCCACAGCAATGCATGGGAGGGTACAGTTAGTATATATATATATATATATATATAGATATAATATATATAGATATATATATAGAATATATCGATATACTATATTACTATATTATTATTATAATAGACACTTGATCACTGTAGGGAGCAAAACTTATTATGTAAGATAACACACACACGGCCCTTGTAGATATGTTCATGTAAGCTAAAGTTTATACTTACATCACTTGATTTTGTCGAGTTTTTATCTTTTAGGAAAGCAGAAATATCCTTAAACCCTTTTTTCTTGGCTATATCACTCGGTGTCTTGTTATCCTTATCCTTCTGGTTTTTGTTCACTCCAGCCTGAACCAGCCACTCAACAGCCTCCAGCTCACCAGACGCCGCTCCAAAGTGCAACGCGTTGGACTTCCCGTCAACACGAGCGTGAATATCACAGCTCTTGTCGAACAACTGTTGCAAGGCGCTCACCTGGCCTCTGAGAGCGGCCCAGTGCACGGCTGTCCGCCCTGGCAACATACGAAAGTACACATTAATTTAACTCTGTACCTTTGCTGAAATTTTAGATGCACTCGATATTTTTACCATACAATGAAATACAAATATTTTAGGAACAATAGTATTATGCTCTAAGTTCCCCCTTTATTTTTATGAATATGGAGTCCTAATTCGTTGTATCTGATGTACGTTTAAGTGTCGGTTTTAGAAATGATTTAATTAATATCCTTACTCATGTGCTGGTCTTAAAAGAGTAAAAAGACCATTGTATCTATCTGCAGGAGGTGTCATAAGCTTTCTTCTGATAAAAAAAAGAACTGCCACAACATAGAATTTCGCAGCAAAGGCAATACAGATGTATAGTTCCAAGTTGACCAAAATATCTGTCATACCTTTGAATTACCTTTGCAAAAGCCAAATTAGGAGAAGGGAAAGGCAGCCATGGTGATCCAGGAACCACAAGAGACGATCATTGATCATGAGCATAATTTGCAAACACAAACTGGTTAAGGCAATAGAAACGGGGTAGAAATCCGTAGGGAAGCTCCCCTGAGTACTAGGCTTCTTAATAGGAAGAACAGCAGCTGTAAGCTAGTCATCGGGGACAGAAAAAGACATCATGATACAGTTAATGGCACGAAGAAATTATTGCCAGGTGCATGGAGCGAGATGACGGAGGATCTCACAGTGAACACCGTCAGAGCCCACAGCTATAGATTTTCACAGGGACAAAGCGAACCAGAGTTCGGAAGGGTTAAAAGATCATTATATGGGAGGCAGAGATGCGTATTGAAATGCAAGGGCCGAGATTGAAGAATGGGCTTACGAGTAAGAAAGGAAGAAAGAAGATAAGCACTGGTGATCACGGTCGCGAAATGCAAACCAAATTTGTGCGCGACCAGCACCGGGTTCCCTACAACTGAACCGGGAAGGGAAGGGCGAGCGACAAGTCCGGAACAAATTTCCCCTGCAATCTTATGGATCATCCTCCAGACGCGAGGGAGAGAGGGTGACTGTGGAGACATGGAACCTCCAACACTCATGCTTAGCCATACGGATAGCCCTACCAGTCACCACATTCGCTTATTAAACACAAGGAATGATTCGACACCGGTGCCTCTTCCAGGCTGCCCGCTTACAGCACACAACCGAGGGTCACAGTGTGCAGTCCCCCCAAGGAACACATCTTCACGTACCACGGGAGGCGTAGTAGGGGACAGAACAGAGAACAGTGTCTATGATGGTGTTAGGGAAAAGGGGGAGAGAGACATCAGATGGGCAGGGAAGAGCAGCACGAAAATCAAACAAATCCACTTTAGCAAAGAAATCCACCTTAAATCCCCACTGAGGGAAAGAAAGAGGGTGGACAGAAAAAGAATTAAAAGAGGATAGAAAAAGATTCCTATTATGAAGGTTATCAAGGACTCTCTATGCCAGGTTTCAATAAATAAGTTAATACAAGAAAGAGTGCGAGAGTCATCGGCTGTCCAGAATTCAGGAGAGAAAGAAGATGATAGGACAAAGATTCTAGAAGAAGACGTTAAGAATTCGCAAGAACATCTCCCCAGAGGATATGGCGACAGATAAAATCCCCTAAAAGGAGCACAGTCTCCTCTTACCACGACATGGTCCTGAAGTAGTGGTCTAAGGCTCGAATCCTCCTCATGGCTACCACTGTTATTTGGCTCCTACTGATATTCTAATAAATACATCATAAATAATCTGATTTCTTTAAGCATTCGAAGAGAAGTGTAGGAAGTAGAATTTATAGACTACAAGCCAGAGTGCAGGGAGGGGGGGGGGGCAATGTTTGAAACCCTGATTTGGCTTCACTGGAAGCTTCATTAACCCTAGAGGATTTAGTTCAATCCCAGGATGCATTGCTTTAGACCATATCATAGGGCAGTGGTCTAAAGCGTTTGCTTGGGAGTACCCAGAGCATAAATTCGAATCCGCCTCATGGGTCCTACTGATTATCTCAGTAATGTCTCCATACACTTATACAAGCATTTATCACTTACCTCAGTAATGTCCCCAAGCATTAACGCAATCATATACAACATATCGCTTTAATATCGCCACACATTTATGTAAACATTTACCTCATATATCTGCAATATCACCACACACTCGTGTTAGTATTTACTATATATCCCAGTAATGTCTCCATGCACTTATGTTAGCATTTACCACATTTCCCTGTAAACTTTTTTTTATGTTATTTGATTAATTTATTTGTAATTTGCCCTCTTACCTGCTACTGCTCAGACTTCTACTTTATAAAATATAATAAACCTTCAACATTTAGAATGTCTAATTATGAGATTTCTCAGTTTATAATTTTCGTAAATTACGAATTTATCTATTACTATTTCTATCTACATGACTTCAATTTTAGTAAATTTTGACAAATCTTTGCACTTTAAAGTTTTTGAAGTAGGCGAATCCTAAATTTACTGCGTTGTGAATTGTAAACTAATCATTAAACTTTTCACCTGAATATCTGTATATTATTTTGTCTATTATTCCTGTATTATTAAT